ATCCAGCGACAACAAGACAAGTGGTGGCTGCCTGTCCCAAGGGTGCCTCATGGTGGTTTGCTTGAAGACACAAGGAAGCAGTTAAATCACAAACGCGAATGTGCTAGTCAAATTCTGAAAGCTGCTATGTCAATAAATAGCATTACATTAGCTGAGATGGAAGTTCCTGAATCATATTTAGATGCTCTTCCAAAGGTACATCTTTGAAATATCATCTCCTGAACTTATATGTGAATAAATTTACTAGACTTGCTAATTCCGTGCTTTCTGTTGAACTTGTTGTCTGCCTCATTATGGTTATGTTGTTCCGCTAACATGTCAAGGAAAGATAGATATTGATTGTCTTTTTGTCTTTAGAATGGAAGAGCGTGTTTAGGGGATGTCATCTACCGCTACATAACATCAGAGCATTTCTCCTCCGAGTGCTTGCTTGATTGTCTTGATCTGTCAACTGAATGTGTTGCCTTAGAGATAGCAAACCGTGTGGAGGCTTCAATTTACGTGTGGCGAAGAAGGCATCATCCTAGACCTCCAACTAATCCAAATCGCTCCACAGCAAAATCATCTTGGGAGATGGTCAAGGATCTAGTGGTTGATGGAGACAAGAGGGAGTCACTTGCTGAGAGAGCTGAAAACCTCCTACTTTGCCTAAAGCAGCGATTCCCCGGCCTAACCCAAACCACTTTAGATACCAGCAAGATTCAGTACAACAAGGTTCGTTTACTAGTGTAAAAAGGCGTTATGCTTTCTTTCTTGCTGATACAATTTGGTGACTAGATTTTGTTCTTCAATCATATTTCAGGATGTAGGAAAGTGTATCTTAGAGAGCTACTCAAGAGTCCTTGAGAGTCTGGCTTTCAATATTGTTGCACGAATTGATGATCTACTACACGTGGACACCTTAACTAGGAACTCGTCTGTTCCTACAGGCAATGTCATTAACCACAAAAAAGTGTCAATCCCCCATATTCAGGCACCCCATATAGAACACCAAACTTTTCACCTGTGCCTCTGATAAGCCCGGTAAGGGGGGAGAGAACTCCATTCCTCAGTGCAAATAGTAACAAACTAACTGGACGTGGCTTCGGAGTGAAGAGAGTCTTGTCAAATTATCTTGGCTGTGAAGCAAAGACAAAGAATTCTGGAAATGCCACTTCTAACAAGAGTTCTGATCACACTATTCAAAGTCCAGAGCTATATCTTCAAGCCGGAAAAGGTCTACGATCAATAGACCGTTGATTGTGGAACTAAAGTTAAGAATATTAGGAATGAATAGAGCAAAATGATAGATACTTCTGCTGGACTATATTGTATTATCCCCTTTTTTTACGTTATAGTTTGTTTACACTTCCATGCTTGTGTGATGTAATGTACACACTTTCTGTTTGTTCCCTTGAGGAGCAGCACTCTTATCATAATTTATAACTAAGATAAATTTTTATCAACAGCTTTGTTGCACTGAAATAGGTATAATCTATATCTATCTACTCTAATAATATTACCGGAAAGAATAATCTTCCAAGCGGACAGAGACCTAAATTTTCATTAGATTCATTCCTAAGCTTGCTTTGTTGCAGCAAGATGATCAGTCCAAGGGTACTGGAGAGAAGAGAAAGCGGTAAAAACCTCTCGCATAAACTCCTTAACTCGAACTTTGCGAGATGATGAAGGTTCTGTTTTTTCTTAGTTACATAACAAGGCATGGAAAGAGCTCCAATGTACTTGTGACTGTCACAGCCTACGTAACGTCCTACATGTATTATGACACGTACGACACATGTGTCTACTTGTTCATTTTTATACAAGTTTAAGTGTCTATTTGTGCACACCCAAAGTTTGGGGACATAGATGTCAGCTGAAGCCAAGTTAAAAAAATATTATGTATTATGCCTATTTTCTTTTTATCAGACTTACTATTTTCATTAAAAAAATTGGTCTATGCCTTCCTCTAACTACTTGTAAAAAGACTATCGTCAATAAGAATACGGTTTATTCAATTTTACGTACTTGAATTTAGAATTATTCATTTATAATTATAGTATTATTGTAAGTAAACTTCGATCATCATACATGAAATCAATTCTTGTCTCATGTATATCTATTTATATCTATATATATTACTTTAAAAAGCATAAAGATCGTTAGAAAATGTTGATTGACCATTTTGTTTTTTTGAAAAGACTTTAGAATAGAAAAAATTGCATTTACTATTTTCCTCAAATTACTATTTAATTATCTTTATAATATTTAAAATTAAGAAGCTCTAAAGTATATGATAAGAGGAAAATATATATTAAAAATTAAGGAATCTTAGAGTATATGATAAAAGTCATTAGGAGAATTAATTATTAAAAAGTTCTAAAATATATGGTAATGGAAAAATATATTTTAAATGAAGTGTATCAAAAAGGATACAAAGCAAAATATAAACACATTAAATAAAAATTAGGAATTTTGTTATTATAACATACACGGATGACCTGGGATCGATCCCCCTCAATATTTTCTGAGTCGAGCATGTTGCATAGGGCTTGCCTAGTGCGGTTTATATCCTGTGTGGTTTGCAAACTATTACACAGTGAGGGGTTTACCCAGTGCGCACAAAGTGCTCACCACACCCGAAGGACAAAGATTGTGACAGAAATTGTAGCGATTGTGGGTTATCCTGGGGTTCCAAAAATTATTTGGCATAAAACTCCACCTTTTTTGGGTGGGTATTAAATAGTTTATAGAAAATTTATGATAGTAATATAACATAGACTAAAATTTGGCATAAAATAGTCCGCTTCAAATAAATATTTTAAAAATATTTGGCATTGTATTTGCCAAATATTGAGACCTTTTATGATATTATTACAAGTAAAAAAACTATTCATGACACACTTATTTTGATTAGCTTGTATTAAAGACCTAAAATATATATTAAGAGAAAAATATATTTTAAACAAGATGCATCACAAATGATAGCAAGTAAAATAAAATCATGTTAGGAGAAAACGAGGAATTTTATCATCACAACGTAGCCTAAAGCTTGGCATAAAAAGCCCACTTTTTTTTTTTGGTTATATAATAACTCAAATACATTTTTTCTTTTTAGGAATTTTTTTACCACAATATATATATAACATGAGCTAAAATTTGGCATAAAATAATATACATTTTATTTTTAGGAACTTTTTTTACCACAATATAACATGAACTAAAATTTGGCAAATAAACTAAGGTATCTTTTATGTTATTGTCACATCACTTTTTAGTTATTATAAAAATACACCAAGGTAGATTACAACTTAAATATTCAAAAAGATTGGCATATCTGTGAATCTTTTTTGGGATAGTTTTTGGGGCTAGAGATCCACCTAGTTTGTAGGAGGAAATAAAAAAAATTGAAAAACTATATAGTATGAAATAACTATTTTCCTAGCCATGATTAGTTTTCAAGTTTATGTTAATCACATCCAAATCATTGATTTCAAAATAGTACTTTTATCTGATCTTATCCAAATAAAAACTTTGTGAAAAATGAGAAAAAAAAAAAGAAAACGGTGAGGAGTCAAATTTATTAATTTGATTCAGTCTGCATCATATAATACTATTTTCTGTCTCAAATTATTTGTCTTGTTTTTTTTAATATGTCTCTTGATAAAATATAAATTAGGAAATAGTCGAATTATTCTTAAGATATACTTTTTTTGTTGAATATTTATTTTATTATGTGTCATTTCTACATAATTGAGGTATTTATATTCTTTTAAAAGATTTATAACTAATATTATCATAAATTTTTAAACTAAAAAATAAATTGAAATAATTATTTTTAAAATTACGATAGATACTTTAAAGCGGCGGGGCTATTGCCTAATGAATTGAAGAAGTTAAATAACTCATTACTCTGAAATAAAGTATATTTACACCAACTGCCGCAAAAAAGGACTACCCATAAATAAATATCAAAATCATGCTATTTTACTTCTTTTTCCCCTCATTATTACTCCTTCGAGTGGCGGAGCCAGAATTTTTAATAAATGGATTCAATATCTGAGAAGTAAATACACGAACTAGTGAAAGGAGGTTCGACATCTATTATACATACCTAAAAAATAATTTTAACCATATATAAATACTAATATTTTCCGTCGAGGGGTTCCAATTATATGTTGCCTCCGCCCCTGCTCCTTCGATCCCATAGATGATCATATTATTAAAAATATTTATCTCATATAATGTGATTACTTACTAAATTAGGATAATATTAATTATTTTTCTCATTTTAGCCCTATAATTAATATGGCCTCTGGAAGTTTAAACAAATTTTAAAGATATACGATTTTTTTTCTAGAGGCTAATTAGTATGAACTAAGGGTAAAATAGTAAAGTTGAGCAATCTATTAATGATTTCTTAATCACTGTATAAAATTGAACGTGTCCATTTAATATGAGAATGAGAGAGTAAAGTTATTCAATCTATTAATGATTTCTTAATCACGACGTAAAATAGAAAGTACCTATATAATATGAGACGAAGAGAGTAGGAAATTAGTATAATGTATTTTTAAAATGACTTTACAGTTTACAATGGGGCAACGACAACTATCTCGTTGTCGTAATTTATATTTGGTCATATTTTTACCTTCTTAAATTTCAAATCAAATTACGCTAAGCAAATTAACACGAAATAAATAATTTTAAAAATTTGGCCAAATAGATACGTACCCACCTATCTAGTACGTTGACCTTATAACAAGCTATATACAGATTCGTATCTGCATAATTTAATTTTCAAATAACTAATGCACGCAAAACCATTATACATGCCATGTGCTTAGATATTTTATTTAATCATCTCCCTTGTTATATATAACATTTCTCTTATTCTTTCATTCTATATATATTCATTTGTTTCATTAGAAATTTTTTAAATTTTTTTCTTATATAATTTGCATTATTTAAAGTTCAAACACTCTTAGCTAAATTTCTGACTACGTGATTGAAGTCGAGTTAGCTAGTATTGTAGCTCCGACATTGATTTTTCGATCGATTTTATGGCGAATACAACTATGGCTGCAGCGCAAATATTTGGTATTAGCAGAATGAGGCAGCATCAAGCAGCACCAACTTTGTAAGTTGTACCTTCAATGTGTTAATGCAAAATATTTCGGTATAATTCAGTAGCTTTGGATCGATCTGTTAAGATATATTGTGTTACTAAAAGTTTTTAGAATTCATAAACTCAAAATCTTACTGGTGATTACTGATATTGTTGAATAGAAATGAGTTCTCCTTGTACAGTGCTAAATATTTTATTTTTGAATTTTGTCGTTTTAAATGGTTGATTGTAAGTAGAGGTTTGAAAATCAGGACATGACATTATAACCCATTCAATCTGTTTAAGTTTGGGTTAATTATTGATCTGTTTTATTTAGTAGATCAACTCATTTCATCTCTTCAAAATTTGGACTCATATAAAACCCAAATTGATGTTGAGAAATTTATCAAAATATTTTCTTTTTTTTATTTGAAATTTCATAATAAAGAAATATTATAATAACACAATTAAACTTAGTAATAGTTGGGTCGATTGAGTTTTGACTCGCTTAGTAGCTAAGTGATTTTTTGGACGGGTCAATAACCTGTTCATTTATTAATTCAACCTGTTGTAAAAGTCTTCAAAATTTAATTCAACACGCCCATTTGACACCTGTGACAATAACTCAATTAAGAATTTTGTGATAGATATGATATATTTGTGTACATATATTACTTTGTCTAAATAGTTAAATCAATTCTCTGATGGAAAATTCAACAGGATAATGTGTTCCAATACTGCTAAAGGTGCAGAGGAGTTTTCAAGGTAATGTGTTTAATTTTTGTTTGATAAACAGTTTATTTTGTAAATTAGGATTCTTAATTAATGTGGATATCTGATTTTGATGCTTCATTTGTACAACTTAGATAATTAAATGAGGATAGTTTATGTTGATGAGGATTAATTAACTGTTATTAGATATGTGTTTCAACTTTGAATCAGAAGATGAAGGCAGACAAATCTAGTGATAGTAGTAGATACTCCCTCCGTTTCAATTTGATTGTCGTGTTTTGGCTTGACACGGAGTTTAAAAAAGTAAAGAAGACTTTTTGAATTTTGTGGTCTTAAAGTAAAGATACGCAAAATGTATCAAAATGTCTTTTAGAAAGTTGAAATGAAAGAGTTGCCAAAAAAAGGGAAAGAGAGACATTCATTTTTGAAACGGATTTAAAAGGAAAATAAGACTAACAACTTGAAACAGAAGGAGTATTTGTGTTGCTCAGACTCTTCAATAATATTGATAAGTGTGTATCAAATACTCCAAAAGTATATGCATTTTTAGAGTATCCAATGCAAGTGCGGCTATATGATCAACATAGGCAGCCACAAGCAAGATAGTGAAAACTAAAATAGGACCCTTACTAGCCTAGAAGAGTGTCTAGTCCTTCACATTGATCAAACCTCATCAACTCGATCGCCCTCCATCAGGGGCATCACATATATATACTCCTCATAGGGACTTAAGAATGTTCACTGATGTATGCACCACCATTGAAGAGCTATGAAAGTCTAACTTCAATACGATATCTGTAATAGTCCAAGCCTATTGCTGTATTGCCGGTTTTCTCCTAACAGACCTTATAGATTTGTACGTGCTTTGGACTACATTATCGAGCCCAAAAGCACGTACTATGTGAATTCGTTCTCTATCTTGTATATCTTGTCTCAAGATTATGTTAGATTGTTGTCACAGAACTACTTACTTCCCCGTTTATCATATATACAGATTAGTTAACACAGGCTGCAAACTAGTAGGATGCGGTTCTGCAGTACCAAGCCTGAGAGTTACCAATAATGATCTTGCAAAATTTATTGATACTAATGATGAATGGATATCCACTCGGACAGGGATACGTAATCGTAGAGTTCTTTCAGGTGAATCTTGCATTGATCTTGATACATACTAACCTACTACATGTTGTTGTGTTCTGTTCTTTGACAGTAACATGATGTGTTATTACATTGGAAGTGTATGGAAAATAATACGAAACATTTTTCGTATGTAAATGCTACAAGGCAGTGATCTGATATACGCTTTTACAGGCAAAGAGAATTTAACGGATTTGGCTATAGAGGCTGCGCAGAAAGCTCTTGAGATGGCAGAAGTTGATCCTAAAGATGTTGATCTAATTTTGTTGTGTTCTTCAACTGGAGATGACTGTTTTGGCGGTGCTCCAGTGGTATGACTTTGTAGAGTAGTGACATTTCTCTACATCTTAGAGCAACATAATTTACCAATTTATACTTTTAATTGTCTTGGTTCATGTGTTTGCTAGGATAATAGCTGATATCCCCCTTAACTCGACTAAGTGAAGCTCCTTCTAGAGAATTAAACAACCTATGTTGCTCTAACTCTTCAAAAATGTCAATAAGTTTGTGTCAGATCCTCCAAATGTTGTGCATTTTCGTCAAGGGTGAAGCAACATTTTTGAAGAGTTCGAGTAATGTAGGAAACAACTTAGATAAGAAAAAACTTGGGCAATGTAATCACTAAACTTTCCTGAAAGAAGAACAGAATACAAGAACAACTTGCGGGTTTATGGTTTCCCCTGCATGAAACGTGTCGTTATATACTATTTCTTTTTCATATGCATATATGTGAACCAAATGAAGAGAAACTAGCAATTGGTTTTTAGCATTCTACCAGTTAGTTAAGTTAAGATTATATTTTCGTCTCAATTTCTCCAGTTTACTAGTTACACTAACTAGCTTGACATGTTGTTGTACTTGGACTTGCTATGATGCTTGGACTCTTTTAGAATGTTGATAGGCACGTGTTGGATCCTCCAGAAGTAATGCATTTCTTATTAGGATCCGAACAGATGCAACAACATTCTTGAAGAGTCCGAGTAGCATAGGTGACTTGTCTGTGGAAAAAGTATTTTGTTGAATCTTTTTAAGTTATTATAGCTTCTCTGTTCTTAGATCCAAAAAGCACTGGGCTGCAAACACAATCCATTGGCTTTCGATATAACAGCTGCTTGTAGCGGGTTCTTATTGGGTTTGTTTTCTGCTTCTTGCTACATCAAAGGTAGAATCTTCTAAACTTTTCCTTAATTATGAAATTTTTGTGGACTGTATAATCATCCTTTACATGATATATTATGTTTTAATAGTCGAATATTGTAGCCAGAGGCGGAGCTAGGTGGGGGTTCATGGGTTCGGACGAACCCACTAGCTTTTTCGTAGACCCTATATTTGTATTAGAAAATTAAACAAATATATGTATATTAACATGTGCACCCCAAACAAAATTGATTTAGAACCCCCAAACTCCTAATCTTGGCTCCGCCTTTGATTGTAGCTAATGATGCCCTTTACCGTCAAACCTCTCTATAGCAGCATCCTTTGTCAGGATATTTTTTGGTTGTTATAGCGAAATGTTGTTATAGAGAACATATAATATAACATAATATGAAAAATCAGTTCCAAAGAAAACTTGGTTGTTATAGTGAAATGTTGTTATGAAGGATGACTGTTATAAAGGATTTGCTCTATTGATATTATATTTTTTGTTCCTATTGCAGCTGGTGGTTTTAAGAATGTCCTTGTAGTTGGGGCTGATGCTGTTTCTCGTTTTGTTGATTGGACGGATAGAGGTTCTTGTATTCTCTTTGGTGATGCTGCTGGTGCTGTACTTGTGCAGGTACCGATAAAGGAGAGTTTAGAACTATCTGAAAGAAAAATTCCATTAGTTGATGAATGTTTTTTATATTTTTCCTGACATTCAGTATTACTGTGAAGTTCATGCTCATTTTGTTGTTCGGGGTAGATAGGAGTTAGTCACCGCACATTTTTAAAGTGTGATATAGGCATAGCGGCCTATAGGCATGAGATGTGCCTCGTGTGTTTTTGTGGTAGGTGGGGGTTCCCTGGACATAGAGGCAGTGGACGTTTAGTCCATGGTCCATTGGATGGTTGGAGCAAAGCCAGAAATTGAAACACATTGATTCTATTACTATCATTTCGATGGTCTCAGAGTCTTTCATGTAAAGTCTGAAGTCTCAAAATGATCAAATTTACAACCAGTTTTGCCAATATCTATATCTCAAAATTCACATATCCATGTTTCTTTTAGGCCTGTGATATCGGAGAAGATGGCTTGTTTGGTTTCGACTTGCATAGTGATGGTGATGGTAAAAGGTACGTTACGTCTATTCATCATACGAGGAATTACATTACTGTGTCCTCATCTTCGGATTGGCACTAACTACTGGTTTAAATTTCCATTGTCAGACACTTGATTTCTACTTTCAAAGAGAATGAAACAGATGATGCATCAAGTGAAAATCCTTCCACGACTAGTTTTCCGCCCAAGTGTTCCTCTTATTCCTACCTCCAGATGAATGGCAGAGAGATTTTCAAGTTTGCTGTTCGCGTAGTACCACAATCAATCGAAGCAGCTTTAGAGAAAGCAGGTTTAGCTGGCTCTAATAATTTCGATTGGTTGCTCCTTCATCAGGTATAATTTTCTCAGATAATACAATATTATGTCAATCATGTGAAAAATCATTTACACCTCCTAACTTTGCTTTAAAAATCGAACTCCCCTTCAACTATGAACAATAGCCCGACATTCATTACCATATACCACCGTTGGTGGTATGACTAATGACTGTTCCATAGAACTTACCTTTCACTTTCGTAGACATCCTTCTATCAACATAACACTCCGGTAGCACTTGTTCTCAGTATTCTCTTGAAACAACGAGCCTAGATATATACCTACATTGTTTGTGTTTTAGGTCTCAACTTCGTTACGTTCATGAGTAAACTTGCAATACATGTATTCAGTCTTACTTCTACTTTACGCGCAGGCAAACCAAAGGATTATAGATGGTGTAGCAACTCGGTTAGAGGTTCCATCAGAGCGCGTGATATCAAATGTGGCAAATTATGGGAATACTAGTGCTGCATCGATTCCCTTAGCGTTGGATGAAGCTGTTCGGGGCGGGAAGGTGCAGCCAGGCCATGTCATTGCTGCTGCTGGATTTGGAGCTGGCCTTACATGGGCTTCTGCAATATTCAGATGGGGATGAATGCTGCTTTGAGTAAAAAAGTTATCCGTATCAAGTGTTTATATCAAACTAATAAATGTAAAATATTCATTTTATTTATAAACATTTAACACTTAACATTTACATTTGAAAATTTGATTTATATTCTGAAGAGCAAGCTCAAAAATGATGAACGTTGATCATATTAAGCTGGTTCAATAAAGGAAGAAACTATGTCCCAAAAGGTCCTCACATGCCTTTATTGTAATTTTAAGGACTTCTTTGGGAATATCTTATGAAAATTCTTGTTATTTTTCAATATAAGAAGAAAAAAAAAATCAACTTTTGACTATAAACATGTTATAATTATTGTTAAGCCCCGAGTCTAAACTCTAGATGTGGTCGGTGTTTGATATCTTTAACTTGTCTGAGCGAACTGTTAACATGGCATGAGACACATACGTAAACGAAGATGAAAGACTTTAATAAATAAATAAAAATTCAAAACATATTTATTTATAAAATAAAAGGCTTTTAATTAATAAAATCTTTAAGTTCCAAAACAAGATGACACCAAGGTCAAAAATGAAATTTCATAACTTGCTTGAATGTTGTAACTCGTCTATCTATGAAGCTTCTAACATGAATAAATTGTATACCAGGATAAGGTCCAAGTCATAATAATATGTTGAATCAACCAAACAAACTTAATGCGCTCCAAGAACGAAAGGAGCTCGCCTATAGCTAAAACATAGACCTAACATATTGCTCGATTATCAAGTCAATGATCAGCAACATTTAAAATGTTGCATCTCCAATAAAAGGAACATAAGTACATAAGAAATTGTATTATATGTAAAATGGGCAAATCATCAAAAACGTATTGAAGATGAATTATCGTCTAAGAAAATTTTTTCAGCTAGATCTGAATATCAAACGGAGTTCTTTATATCAAATTTTTCGGTCTGAACGACGCCAACGAAATAAAATGGAAATCCACAAAGAGTAATAATTAATCTTTTAAAAAATAGTAAAATTTCTATAAATGTTTTTACTTCAAATAAATTTGATTTCAAATGGTGGCCAAACGGGCCCTTAACGAAGCCCCAATTGATTAAAATATCATAATCCCCAATACTTGTAACTCCATCTCCGGCGAACTTCTCCGTCTCCGTCTCCGGCGATATAAGACTTGTAAGTTCCTTCTTTCTCTCTCCAGAATATTTCCGAATTTACCTTTTGCATGATAGACAATTTGATGTTCAGTATCTGTCCTAACCCTAATCATTTTTTCGAATTTCTACCAATTATTAGAGGAGGAATTGTAGATTAGAGATTGTTTTGATTAAAAATTTCCCAATATAGTTCATTATCGTTGAGTTTACACTTAAACTCATCTCTTTTTTCATAGGAAGCACTAAATGATCCTAATTGTTTGCTAAACTGTCACTCTTTCCATCCCAAAATATGTATAACTCTTCATTTATCGAGAATTAATTTGACAGATCTTCAAAGCTAGATTGAATTAACTTAATTTAATATTTTATAGAATTAAGATTTTCTGTATTCGAAACTGTACGAAAATTAGTAAGTTGCAATTTTTCTCATATTGATATGGTGAAAAATACATCTTAAAATTTTGGTTGAAGTTCATGTTTGACTCTCGAGAAGTGAAAAGTGATACTTTTTGGGGCTGAGGGAGTACTTGTTATCATAGAGAGTACCATGATTTCATCACTCCTGTTGTATGTATAATCTTAATTTGCTTACATCATTTCCTAAAGTTCCGGCTAGTTCTGTTTTCTGATAGCATTTGCAGTTCTACGTTTCATTTCTTGGGGATTATCCGACTAGACTGTCCAATATTTGATTGCTTAAGTTGTGTTCAATTGCAATATTTTTTTCTCTGTACTCATCATTTATGATAGTAACTCTTGGGAGGGTCTAGTGTTAATACCTGATAGTAAAATTAGTTGTTTTTCGCTGTATTTTTTTTTTTAAGATTCTCTTTGATTCAAAAAAACTTGTGGTCTGTCGTTTGACTCTCTAATGTTAGCTGTTGTGAGAATAGAAAGTATCTAATTCAAAATTTAATGCCTATCGTGTATCATAAAAATCTCATTTTTTCTATTCACGCTACACATCAAATGTATTTAGCACTTACAGGGTAGGTAAGAAATGCTAATGTGTAGTCTATTCAAGTCTTAGGCAAATTGAGGATTGTTGTGAATGTGGAGATTCCATTTATACCAGATTCAAGTTGGATAACATGATAGAGCACGAACACAAAACAGACCTTGCTGATCATGCCCATTGTTCTTACAAAGAAAATAAATTATTCAACTTTGCTGGTCATAAGTGCATAGTATCTATTTCAGTTGAGGCTTTTCTTTTCTTTTAGAAAGAAGAAGAAGCGAAGGAGGAGGAGGAGTAATGGGGTGAACTGTTGTTATTTTCTTTGGAAATGAAATCATGGTGCTCTCTCCATTAAAAACTAGAAAAATTGAAAGTGCTCTAGTTTGACAAACAATGAGGACTATTAGGGCTCCAAGTCAAAGAATGATGATTTTGAATTTAAGTACAAAGCTAAAGGGACTATTTTGGACTTTAATTTGATATTTTTTGCATAGATGTGATTGTCCTGTTTGAATTTCTCTCATCTAAGTAGAGATTTTATCTTTGAAATGGAAATGTATATAGAAAAACAAAGCATGGCAGAGCAAATCCTCAACTTGGGAGTCCTCATAGATGTTGTGGATGAAGAATGGATGCGAGATACCCTGCCCGCTGATGGTACTATCCTCATTCAATTACTATTATTATTATTATATATCAGTCAATCAACTATGCTTCAATCCAAATTAGTTGCAATTGAACTGCGTCAGTTTTATCAAATGTTTACCCTCGGCGTGCTTAGGCTTTCAAGTTTGGTCCAAGATAGGATGATGTGTTGTCTCAATTGGGCTGCACTCCAGTTGCCAGTGAGATGTTAAGTTTGTGCATCACACATGACCTCTATCTTGAAGAGAGCAGTATAAACAATAAAATTCACTTAATTATATATTTGTTTCATTTTATTATAATTCCCTTGTGCATATAATATTTGATTGTATTTATAGCTATTATTCTTGACTTGCATTGAATTTTTTTAAAAAAATTCAATGTCTGGGCTTTTCTTCATCAATTCTTGCAGAGTATAAGCTCCTTTTTTTTCTTTTTTGGCCTTTTGCCTTCTATTGTGAATCATATTTCGCTCTATTAAGGTCCATTCATTCCAATACTAGATAAATTTTATTTGGGGAAAATTAGGAATTCTCTAAAAAGCTAGAGGTTTCCTAAATCACACACTTTAGCTCAATTTAGATGGATAATAATTGTTATGTATATTCTTATACTTTTTTTGTCTCATTTTTTTCCATTTTTCATTTATATTGTGTAGCTTAACTACTTTGGAATTGAGGCAAAGTAGAATTTACTGTTCATACTTTAAATTCATCTTTTTCTGCAGATCTCCCGTTACCACCCGTACTACTTCCTAAGACTGATGACAATGAAGACTCAAGTAAGTATTACTTGTATTCATACGCTTGGGAGATATTGAATGTGGGAATGTTTTATCCCTTAATTGTTGGTTTGGGTATGAAATGTGAGAACAAAAGATGACAAGTTAAGACTTTCAAGTTATTTATCGACATGTTCTGGTAGAAGTTAGAATAGATTTCTTGTAAAGTGAGTAGCTGTTAAATGGCTTCTAGCTCTTAGCCCCCTTTTTATTAGTGTTGCAGATCCTAGATAGCTACGCTGTAAGACAAAATTTCCTTAGTTTAGCAATTCATATGTGGGGTTATATTGCTTTTTGAAAAGAAAGCTGAAATTTGAAGTCATCTCTGAGACTTCTTTAGTAGGCTCTGCAAGCCTGCAACGACTTTCCCTAAAGCTTAATCTAACCTCTGTTCATCCACGATTGGTGTGTACCGAAGGGCTTTCCTTACTCGTATTCTGTAATGTTGAAACCCTTGTAGCATCGACTATATTCTTGTTCAGTATAATGCTCTTTGGCATTTGTTTTGTTCACTTTCTGCAATCATCAAAGAGATCAAGAATATCATACATCATTTTAACTAGTATCATTATGGCTTTTGCTTTTAAGCATTTGATGGAATTTTAATGAGAAGAACTTGATGCTATAGTTGGGTTATTTCTGAAATGGGTTTTGGCATAAACCGAGATTAGGAACACTTAAACATAGATGTAATTCAGATATTTTCTGGTCCACGCACATTTTGTTGAGTTCTGATATCAGGAATCTTACATTCGATGAGTTGAGAAACAAATCAATTTGTTGGTTGCTTTCATGCTGTCTACTTTCCGTCAGTTCTCATCTTTGGATGATTGAATTCTATCCTTCTGCAGATCAAGAGGCTCCACAAGTTGATGGAGATGCATGGCACGACCTTGCATTGGAAAATCATCGACATTAAAATGATCAAGCTTGTGGTTTGATTTGCAACCATTATCATCATATGTATTGTTGGTCATGTACTTGTACGAAAACTAAGTTCAACCGTTCTATCTCTTGATATATTATGTTGGTTAGTAGGTATGAGTGCATTGCGTGGTGTGTGGCATTTCATGGAGTTCAAACCTTTCTACATACAAAAACCCGGAATTTAAGTGGAGAAAGTTTGGAGGATTGGACCCATTATTCATCGAGTTTTGAACTCTGTGCCACTACTGATGTTGTACCTTGTATTTCTGCAAGAGTTTGTTTGAAATATAATGAGATTTACTATTATATGTCATCCACCAAGCTAGTTGGTCAAATTTTTGTCCCAAAAATGAGTTTTGTTGCAACAAACTTAAATGAATATTGAAGTAAACCATTGTTAAGTCCTAAACTAGAAGAGAGATAATTAGTATGAGTTTAACAAAATACCTCAATAAAGGTATAGTAATTAAAAGTTAAAAACCTAAATTGAAAGGATATTTTTTAAATAAGTTAGGAGTTTTGACTAGTTGTATAATTTTTTCCTTGAAATTATCCTTAAAAGTTATTAGAGCTTCCACCTAAACATTATTATGAAGGTTACTTATTACTACTTTTATGCACTATTATTGTACGATGACCATCATCAACTTCTATTGTGCAAATAATATTATTGACAAATTTATTGTCATTTTCACCAACCGTTACTTCAAAAATCACTACCAATCACTAATTATACATCATTTCTAGCCATTGTTATAATCAACACCAATTACTTGAACTCCTATTGCTATCATTGTTCACGACATAACTATCACCATCAACCAACATCACTCATCACTAGTTCTACCAATGACCACCTCATAACATCATATAAATTAGGTTTTTTTATACTATTCTAGGAATATAAGATTTAACATTACAACTTTTGTGCACTATCATTGAACGACTATCACTATCACCACCAAACTTCTATTGCACGATTAACATCATTGACTATCTATTGCCACCCCCATCGATCACTACCTCAAAAAACCACCACCAATCACGATCGTACATCATTTATAGCTACCACCAACCATTCACCAACACCATTTATCTAAACTCTGTTTATTACTATCAGTTTTCACTACATAACTACCAACATCATTTGACATTAGTTTCACGAACCCACACCTCTGTCCCATTACCACATCCCATAGTATATGATTAAATTATATGAAAATACTTTTAAAATAATATTTTTTATTTATTACTCACTAAATACATGAAAATAAATAAGAAATTTAAAATAATCTTTTTATAAGATCAATAATGTAAAATGATTTTTTTTTTCTTATAAAATTCTTCATACAAGTTGCAAAAAGAAAAAAAAGAAGGTAAGTATATAATTAGCAAATCAATATAATCCTTTTTTAAAAAAAATATCATTACAAGTAGAATACAACCTTGTGCTTAGTGTTGTAAGCTTTTGCAGTGATCGTCTTTGTGAAATACAAATTGTTGAAAATGGCGAATCAGCAGCAAGGATCGAGTCGGCCATGGATTCTCGAAGCATTACCTCTTCTAGTAGTCATACTAATCGCTGCTCATGTTCTCGCTTTGGTATTTGAAAATTTGCTTCATTCCCCACTGTGTGTATTTTTCTCGAACTAGTAAGATTGAGTTGTTTTGCTGAATTTGTTGTAGGTGTACTGGATTTACCGGGTAGCAACTGAGAAACAGCCTCAGAGAAGTAAAAAGCACTAGCAAATGTAGATAGATTGATTTCATTTTGCTTCAGCTTGTAGGAAAATGCAAGGTATAAACCCTAGTTATTTCTCAGTTTTTTCTTCTTTGGAATTTGAATCACTCGAGAATTCGAGTTATTGTAAGTATAATTTCTTGTTAAATCTGTGTCATATCAGTTGGAATTTTGTGCATGAGAGATCGCTTAGTGAGCTGTTAATTTTGCTGTTAATATGTTGGGAGATTGGTGCTTGTGTATTTTTTTTTCCCTTTTTCGGTGGATAATATGATTTTTGATTTTTGTGGGTTTTCGTTTTCTTTGAATTGGAGTGCTCATATATTGCCTGATGTCCAACATGGTTGCGAATGTGAATGAACTTTTATGGCACAGTCATGGGCTGAGTGAATTACTCTTTTCTTTTGCTATTGAGCTTCTTTAAGGGACACATGATGTGTATGTTAGTATGATAGTAAACAATTCTTTGCAGTCAAAATGGAATTGATTAAGCATTGCTGAACTTTGTGAATGAGAGATCACGCTGTGAGCTGACAATATTTTTGGGGTGGGGTGAGTGATCCTTGTTTTTTTTCCCCCAGTGTTTTCTTTTTCAATTTTGGGCTGATCATGTGATTCTTGATATACCAACTTGGTTTACCCCTCACCCATATTAGGAGTTTTGATTTCTTTGAATTGGTGTATTAGTTAAAAATGGTACAGAAATTGTTGCAGTTTAAATGAAATAGACTAAGCACTGCTGAAACTTTAAGAAGAGGTAGTATATGCAGAGTTGCCATTCACTTTTGTGTATTGTAGTATCCAGAAATGAAATTTAAGGATGTTATTTGTTAAAGAATATAACGATTACTGAAAATCTAGTGCTTATGTTTTAGTTATCTTATAGTTTAAGGACAAAAATTGAGCAATAGTTTAACTGGATGACAAGGTAGCGATTTCCTTTTTAAAATGAGCAAAAAAAGCAGAGGAAAGGAACCAACTCTAGAGGGAACTTATTTTGTTGAATTTACATGTCAAATCTTTTGAAGTGATAATTTAGTTAAGGTAATTGGGGTCAACGTTATTAACGAAATGAGGTTGGGGAGAGTCCTGTACATCTTCTTAGGGGGTAAGGGTGAAAATCTTCTCCAATAGTGAAAACCTTTTTCTCTTTTGATGTGGCTTCATACTTAGCTGGTAAGTCACATAACTGTATGAACTATGAAGAATGTTTTTGAACTTAATGGAAAGTGATTGCTTCGTTGCTTAAATCTCTGGATGATGGAAGCATGAGCTTTTCCCCACCTTGTAATCCCCTTCCCATTACCCCTTACCCCTACCCCCATTTTTTTTTTTTAAAAGACAAGTGATGTGACTTAGAATGGCACAAAGCAGCTTTTGAGCTAGAATTATTCGCTTTATCTTTTTTTTCTTTGGGAATTAGAATTTAAAATGGAAATAATTGATGGTTATTTAGAGGTGCTGGGTATTCTGGAAATTCTTAGGCTTGATGGTGTTAAAGAAGTGCAACATTTGGTATTAGAATCATGAATGTTATCACTGATATTGATGTAGCACCAAAAGGAAGGAAGGAGAATGAGGAGAATAATGAAGAGAGGGAGATAGGAGAAGTGAAAGAAGATATCAACTCATAAACTATAGTATTTTATTAAATGAAGTATGTTCATCAAAGAAAAAGGAGGCTCCTGTTTACATGTAGGGAACCTTGCATAAGGTAGAATCTCATCAAAGAAAAAGGAGGCTCCTGTTTACATGTAGGGAACCTTGCACAAGGTAGAATCCTCAAAAGTAGGAACTTTATCTCCAAATAAGAGATAAAAATAAAATCTAAGATAAGTTAGAGATAGATAACATTGGCCTTGCTTGTTCGTAGTGGTTAGGGAGTCCTCTCCGCACCACTGGTCAAGAGTTCGAGGTTGATAGGAGAAGAAGAATGAGAAGATAAAGATAGATAGCATCAATCCTATTTACTAGCCTTTTTCCTGTTTCAATAAACAAACAGCAAAAAGATGTAGGTAAAATCAAACAAGGGATAATGATAAATATGTGATGTAGATAAATACTAAAATATTCCAAATTTGTTAGGATTTACATCAGTTGACTTCAACTGTTTCCTTTACAAGGGATTCTGGGGTTTAGTGGCACTTATCTGGTGTTATGTGCATGAATTTTATGGTCTTCTGTTGAACTCAATATCTACTTTTCTTCTTTGTAATAAATTCTCAGAGGCTTTTCCTATAATGATAAAAGAACCTTAGAAACTCTGCAACTCTTGTGGATTTTGGGTAAGTTTGGTAGGAACATAGTCCAAAATTTCTTAAGAGCATTTTATGTCTCCTGTAATGTTTAGGACATGGTAGTTTCAAAAGGCCAGCTATTTTGGTGAGTTACTGTTAAAATGATGTCTAGTGAGATTGCTGAGCACTCTATACTTGAAAACATCATGTCTCTGTCCCTCTTTTCCCTTTGCTAAGTACTTATCTCAGAAGCGCTGCTGACTGGTGGCAAAACTATTAGTCGACATAGATGGTTTGATAGAATTCAGGGATTAAGTGAAGAAGATAATACAATATAATTTATGAATCTGTTATTATGGTTTGAAATTTCATTCTTGTATAATATAAATATGGATGATTGGTGGATACTCTAATGTTGGTTTTGCTTTTAAAGAAGTCATGAACTAGGATTTCAGGGATGTTTTTCTGAACTCCCAGTTAAAGAGAAAAAGCCTGAAAAGGTCCTTAACTTTTCTTATTGTTTTGGAGGTGGAATTGGGATTGAATTTGTGTGATTTTTGTAGTGTGATTGCTAGAAAACATGACGTAAGGACTGCATCGTGCAAGAATATAAACTATCAGTATGTTATCAAAGCTTCTGAACATGAGAATGAAGAATGTAGAATGAAAGATATGTAACATCCAACTCCCTCCATTCCAGCTTATGCGATCCTAGTTCTTTTTTTGACAGAATGACTCCTTTCTAAATTAGGAAACTATTTATAACTTAAACTTCCCATTTGCCCTTAATGACAAGTTTTTATAGCCACACATATGTTAAGACATGTTTAAGACCACATATTTCCAAAACCCTTTTAGTCATAAAAATGTTATGGCTTGATTAAGACGACAAGCTTCAAAATTCTTCCTTTCTTTCTTAAACTCTTTTCCCAGTCAAACAGGTTCACATAAAGTGAAACGGAGGAAGTGATAAACCGAGGTTAACTGGAGAGATTCCTACATCAAATTCAAAATACTATCTTCTTGAACTATTTATATCCCACATTGGGTACATAAGGTCAACCAAAGAATTTTGTAAAGGTGCTGAGATTCCATTTGTTGCCTTAATAGGGAATGGATGCTCAAATTCTTTCACATGATACGCGGCCAATTCCACTCATAGATCCACTGTCTTAAAAGTTTGAGTTGAATGTTCATATTCTATCCCTTTTAGTAGACAGAAAATGAAGAAATAAAAATATCCCCTCTCTAATTGTTTAAGCTGAGTCTGAGTTTGATCCCTGTTGTTACCCAGTGATAAAAAAAGTGTATCTACATTACGCTTGGCCAAGAGAAAGAATTAGGCCCACATGTGAGTGAGGGTGTTGTAGACAAAGTAAATAAATATTAATGCCTCCTATTTGACAATTTAAGCTTTTTAATAAGATTTTCACACGATTCAACAACAATTCTTTTTCATTTCTGGATAATCCCCCAATAATCTAAAAGCAAAGTTTGTTACGCTTCCTTGATGAGGAAAACAAAGTTTATAACATATAATGCACTTATTTCTCTTCTTTATTGATAAAAACAATACTAATAAATAACAAATCAAGTTTGTGACAACATGTTTATGTTTTATAGCAGTCTTTTTCAAAAAACTGATGAAGTTTTATAGCATATTCTACTCTTATTTATCTTTGATATTATTGATAATAAAGAACAAAGCAATAGTGTTATACTTTCTCGACTTTATCTTGTTTTCATGTGATGCTTAACGTGGAAATACAAAAGAACGAGATTGGAAAGGGTAGGAAATTCAAATTGAAATATAGAAGAAATGGGCAAAAGAGAAACAAGAAACAAAGGCTGTCTTACCTTATTTTGTCATTAGCAGAAACTAACTACATCACTCATCACCCCGTGCAGCATGGGTGTCCGTCCATCACCCCTATGTTGAATTAAAGTTGGTTGGGTAGCATAGAAAGGAATGATGTTGGCTGATTATTGAACATTGCTAGTTTTGAAGTTTATGCAAAAGGCAACTGAAGGTGATAGGTGTTTATTGATAACCAAACAAGGGGTTTATGTGCACCAATAGAAAGTACTGGTAATAAGTAGGGCTTGAAATTTACAACCCTATTGTGGGGGTCTCGCATTTTCCATCTTCACATACATTTTTTATTTTTTAGAAATTGCAAATCAGTTCTTTCTGACCTGCTTTTGCATCTACGCCATCCATATTTTGATGATAATTTTCTGAATGGACATGTTTATGGTTTTTCAGATTAGTTTTATTCTTTGAGGAGCTATATCTTGATTCCCGACTTAGATGCATTGATGTTCTCTCATATTGTGTTCCCCATCTGTTAACTCCAAAGTTATTAGATGCATTGATGTTCTTTCATATTGTGTTCCCTATCTGTTAACTCCGAAGTTATCAGCTTACCACTTAGAAGGAGCATATCCATTACCAGTTCTTACATGTACTGCTTCATTGTTGTAGAATATCCATCTGAGTTTTCGATACACAGAATCAAAGCCCTAAGTAGCTCAGGCTATTCGAGTGCTATATCAAACAATACTCATCATCCATGATATCATGCATTATGCATGTCCCCTTTTACTTCCAGTTTTTTGTTGTCTTTCGGCTTCTGATGACTGAGAATTTCTTTTTCTTTGTTAGGGATTCATTCTATACTCACTCAAGGCCTCTTTGCCTTAGCATATGTGAGTCTCCTTTTCTTCGTGAACACTGTGCAATTATGCTGGAAAAGTCTGGCATGTGTTACACGTTAGTGGTACCGTTGTTGAGAAACTTCTTTGTTCTTCTCTATTAACATCAGTGTAATTCTTCTGTAGGATTTTTTTTGCATCTCCAATCCTCTTTTGCTGTGGTGTGTGTTTCATGAATTTTTACTAGAGCTTTTCATCCACTTGTAAATTTAGTTTAGTATGAAAATTGCAACAACACAAGTTTGAGGATTGTTAGTCATGTAAGCATGTTAAAAGTTTGTAGACACAAGATTTTCTTCATCCAAAAGTTGCTACATTCCAACATTTCAAACTTTAATCAAGATGTATTTTTTCATTAGAAGAATGGTAACTTTGTCGATTGGTATAAGAACGGTAACTTTAGGGGGTCAGTTAGTTGAGAATAAGTTATTCCATCATCGTGTATATGGAATAACTTAATAAATCTTACACTACCGTATTATTGTTAGAAAATACAAAAACAAATATTGTAATATTGGGACAAATCCATTTTATTAAAATTAAATTGACCACAGAGATATTATGAATCAAAAGAATTTCCACGTCATTAAAATTACAAAAAATAATAATAAATAAACTCATTTGTCATCGTCGTCTACTCGTCTTCGTTATTTTCAGCCTGCACTTTGCTGCTATTATGATTAGAAATTAATTTCTTATACGGCGTCGTTTCAACAAAAGTAGCGGAACTCATCTCCATTTGACATATCCTCACCGCTCCGAATAGCTTCTCCGGCAACTCCTCTGCCGTCTCCGCCTCCACCAAAAACCCCATATCAATCGTCACCGACGTAACATAACCTAAAGCCAAATGCAAAATCGCAGTCGCAATCGCCGAGCTACCAATATCAACGTCGATTTCTAAGTAATTAGGTCCTTTATGGTAATAGCAATTCAAAGCTTTACCGAGTAAACAAGCGGAGTAGTTCCCGACGGCGGTTTTCACAATCCACGGTCCTTTAATCATCCGGTTCACGATTTTGAACCGGTTGTTACGGTACGAGTCATCGCCGTGTACGAATCGGTAGAGGAGTGACCCCGGTTCGAGCGGGCGGTTTTGTTCAGTAGCGAAGTAGAAAACCGCGCTGTGCTGATCTCTACCGGGGATTTGAAGGTTTACAGCGAATACAAAGGTTTTTAGAAACTCACCTTGTGAATGAGATTTCTTCAGCGCGTTCATTACACGGTTGTCGTTCCGAGAAAGGACGTGATCGAGTTTTGAATTTGATCGGAGCCAATCAACTCCGGCGGGTTGTAGAAGCCATTCACCTGAGGGTATTTTCGTCTTTTTTGTGAAGTAATTCGGACCTCGGAGATTGAAATTATCTCCCGGAGGTGACGCCCATCCATTTGTCCCGTTATTCAAATCTACGCATTTCAATGACCCGCCGGTAATTACTTCTTCCCTCCAATCTCTTCCACCGCCTTTCGGACAATGTTGACTGAGTTTTTGCTTTGCGGAGCACATTTTTCGATGAAAATAGCTCGAATTTATCCACCGGAATTTGGGTGGAGTAATGGAGGAGCTCTCCGGGCTCCGTAGCTATGGAGTTTATTGTAATGCTGGGCGTGGGGTGTTTCATGAATATATATGAGAATTGGTCAAACCCAACATTTGCCCTTGAGTTTGCAAGAAATTACGGAAGAGGGATCGACAGCTAATACTGTGACTAGGTACTTCGTAGCTAGTTAGGAGCTAAATTATTCAGGTATAAGTAATATTACGTTTAGTAGTATTTTCTTTTCACCTATGTTTTAAAATTCATCATGATGATATTTGATTTAACATAATTTATATATATATATAAGTTATATGATAATTTATATATTGTTTCATGGAATAGAATAGAGATATGAATGTTTATATATGAAATGACGAAATATTGAAGCTATTATTCTCTATTATATGAGTATATATAAGACAAAATCGAACAAATATACCATAAAAAATCAAAGTTGAATTTAATATTTTATCATAATGATATATAGTATTTTTAAAATTTAAATATTGAAGTTTTCAATACCTTATCATGTCCATTACTACTAAGGTAGAAATAGAATATTTAATACTCAACATGATTAGTTAAATAAAGTATGCTTTAACCAATTCATACATCAAATAATATTAAGAATTATTTTTTAATAAAAATAAAACACAAATAAGCTGGTGGAATCCAGTTGTAGAGAATCTCTTTTGAATTGAACTGTCATTATCCAAAAAAATAAATCATCTGATAACTATTCTTTCTCCATTTGATTTCAACTATTTGCTTTTGGAATAATGTACAATAAGAAAAGAATAACAAAATTCGTAGTCGACATGGACGATTAAGTTAGTATAACAGATGATATTTCATGTTAACAAATAATTTACGTCTTCTCCTATGTAATTTGTAAGTTATTATACGAGAATGGATTTATTCTATGCATATTCGATAGGTAGTGGTTGTAAATTTCTATTGATTATATGATTGTTTTGTTCTTATTATAGGAAAAATGCCGTTTCAATTATTTACTCTTTTTCTTACAGAAATAATTTGCTGTTTCTTGGTTGTAAACTTGTAATACGTTGGAAAATGAATTGACAGATCTATGTTGGTGCATTTTTGGGGTCAATTTTTAATGTTAGAAATTCCTTTTCCAAAAAAATAAAATTAACGGCACTTTTTACAAGACAGCTTGTTATTTGTGTGGTTGAGAATCAAAATAAGGAAATGTGGAAAAAACTCCAACCATGTTTTTTTTATACTCAATAGTAAATAAATATAAAAGAGCTAGGAGGTGTCAGAAGTTGATTATAATAAACAAATAGAAACGGTAGAGGAAGGTCGAAAAAGAATATGATAGAAAGTGATTAGATAAGAGATGATGCAATTTCCTCTTATTGAAAACATGAGTCTAGATAAGAAGGTTTGAACTTTGAAAATCAAGATAAATGACTGGTAATTAGTCGAGCGTTGTCACACTATCATGGGTTATTTAGTAATTGTAGTCTCTTATTTTTTTAATATGTATTACTACATGGCGCTATCTTGCTATTTTATTTTCGTATTATTTTTCAAATCATGCTTTGAAAACTTTTCTTTAGATTACACTGAATAATATTATTTGTTTGTAATATAAAAATTTCACCAAAATATTTCCTTCAAGTTGCTAAGTAACAACTCCACTTCAATCATTCTTCCTAGTTGCTCAACGCGTACAAGTCTTATCATCTTTATAACCAACAATAATGTAAGCATATTACAATAAATTTTTACTACTAAACTTCTCTAGGTAACTTCAAATTCATTTTTGCGTAGAAGTAATATCATCTTTATTACATCAAAAAAAACTTTGGAGTAAATGTTTGTTTTTGAACAAATAAAAGAAAAAGACATAAAAGAGGGTACTTTCCTAAAGACATAATACATGTCAACATAAAAAATGTTACTTCTTTTGGTATATTTTTTTATTGTTTTGATAAGAAATTAACATTTTAATTAAGGTGCTAGTGACAGTTATTCCTGGCTTTAATATAGCAAAGTTTCTTTCCAGCTATTATATAATTGCTTCTTCATTTAGGAATGAACCTGCTCAGAATGCAATTTAACTTTTCCATTGGAGTAATAATTTGCTCATTACAAGCAACTCACAAAGAATATTACTATACAATTCATCTACTAACTCAAAACAGATTACTATACAAGTTCATACACCTAATGGATGCTTGAATAATTCCACCAATCGATTGATATAGCTGGAGGCAAAACTGTATTAACTCACAGAGTGTTGTATATAAGATTTGGATTACCTGGAGTTCAAGTGCTTGATTTTGAGTATGAGTTTGATGAAAGGTAAGAAAAGTTTGGCAATGCATCCATACTGTCGCTTGAACTTAGGGTAGAAACATCAACAACGAACTCATCGAGTGTCTACAGAAAAATGTGAAGAAACAAAGTTTCAGCTTAGCAATTTTATTTGTGCTTTAGCGAAAAGAACAAAAAGAGGAGTAGTCCAGGGCAGAATGCTTGAAATGTGATGCCTATATCATGTGTATAAATAGTTTGAATTCAAAATGTAAATAACAATAAGATGCAGTTCGGAGGCCTGGAGTAAAATCTGGTTTTCTTGGCATCATACATGCACAGGCCACATCAAAAACAATCTTAACCTACACCGACTGTTTGTACATCTTTTCTGAAGGTAAACAAGTCACCATTGCAATTTCTGTGGTCCTAAACAAGAGCAAAACTGATTTATAATTAACACAGCAACCAAGTTTAACTAACCTCGACAGCTTGTCGCAGAGCATTGCACATCTCTAGAGTCGTCCTCCTTTGAATGACAACATCATCATGCTCTCGCAACAAATCTTCATATAGGTTCTCGCTGTGGGCGACTCAAGGAGAAACAGTCAAATGATCAGAAATTGTTTATAACTTTAAGTTTGTAGTAAACAAGGTAATTCTACATGATCAACAAGCTGTGCTAGGTTTGTTAGTTGCAGCCCATGAAAGTACTGGTTTGGCTGTCCATATTAGTCACCTATCTCAAACTTCTACCATTTTCTATCTAGAAAAGATTTATATCTAGTTGCAATCAAATCATCCAAAAAGCTTAACAACAAATGTGGACAAAGAAAGAAATTAAGAAGGAAACCTAAGACAACAACCAGAAGCATAATCGACTCAGGTGAAAGGAACTCTAAACCATCCGATTAAGAAAAAGCACAAGCTGAGAATGAGTTGCCTGCTTATGACAAGGTACTCCTAGTTTAAGTAAGATCATATTTTCAGATTCTTTAGCATACTGGTTACAAGTTTAGCAAGGATGTCAAATCAATTTACGTGAGATTTATAACATCCGGTAACCCAATAATATTAAATATAAACACTAGTCCCAATGAGCATACCGGTACAACTTCTCGATGAACGTGCCAAGAAGGTTTCTCTTAGCATGATTGACCTGGAGAAAATCAGAAGTGAGTGATAACAAACGGCAAACACAGCGCAAAGGAAAAACTTACACAAAAATGGCTACATAATACATGTCTCCAAGGAGTTAACAGAGGGGAAAATACCAGATAATGCATGATAGCTTTTGGAACCAAATCCTGTATATTCCTCCTCACAATATCATAATAAGATGTTATGAGCAGTTTCGTCACTATAATCTCGACTTGATACTCTGTTTCAGTTTCTCCAGGCCTCAAGACCGGCGGTGGCTAAAAAGAGAGTGAGAGAATGAATCACAAATATAAGATATTTCATCGCCATGTCTGTTGTTCCTCTCTTTTATGACATGTAATTGAATAGTATGTACTTACATTTTTCAATTGTATAACAGGGGGTGCCAGATTAATATCATGCACCACTTCAGTAGCATGTCTCTTAGATGAATGCCCTACTGATGATCCCCGGATTCCAAATAGGGAAGTAACACCCCATGTCCTTGTGGTTGAGGTACCTAAAATACATTTTGTTGCAGCTTCACATGTTACTATAACAGAAGGAAATGTAGAAGTCACACACTAGTGTTCGAATAAAAAATTATTTTAAGGCCAAGATCTTGGTAAAATATCCTAGTCTCTGAATTTATTTCATATGTAAAACAAATCATTTGTACCATCAACAGCAGTTCCCTATTTAACATATCTACTTGCACTATATCAAACACAACATCAGTCGGACATGGTTCTTACCATGACACTGAATGTGAGAAAATTTGATGAATTGTCTGGAGAACAAAAACAGTTTTGTGAATCCTCAGACTATCTCAGGATAGAACTCCATTCTCTTTTGTTACCAATTAGACACAAGGTCAAAATGAGATGAATATAATGTGTCGATGTCTGATTAATAACTGAGGAAATAGAGATGATTCAACTCAAAAGCTAGACAATTCACTCAGGCATGGTTGGAATTTTATAATTATGTTGGAATAATGTGGTTTACAACATGGAAGTTAAATATCTAGATAATCAATTATGTGGCTGATTTACAATAATTAAATCAATACAAATCATAAGCACATCTTATGTATCAGTTAACACAATCAACACAGCCTCTCAAGTTGTAGCCGACATTTCATAGACTTCAAGCTCGTTGCAAATATGAAAGCCAAGGTGTCCTTAGAGGTATTTGGATAAGAGCATTTGCATGCTGATCATTTGATCGAATGAATGTAGTGTCACCTCATCCAGACTCAATCTTCTATCTTAAAAACGAAAATCTACCTCTATATGTTTTGTTCTTTCAAGAAAGATCTGAATTTGCGGGAATGCGGAAGTAGCTTCATTGTCACGTATCAATCTATTTGAAGCACACCTTAATTTTGGGAGAAGTTGTTTCAACCACGAAAAAAGCTCACAGGTTGCAAACACCATAACTCAATATTTCTTGCTTTTTATTTTCTCGAGATTAGGTTCCCTCCCATCACAATACAACATCCAATAAGTGGAATGTCTACCTGCCTGAGAACCTCCCCAATCAACATCAGTAAATCCGACAATGTCATAAGTGATCCTTGTCTTCAAATAACCTTCCTTGTCCTGGAATTCTTTTAATC